CATCCTGCACATTGCCAAAAGTTACAATCCTGTTTATGAGGAGATGATTAATGACCCTGCACATTTGCATGACAATGGTCCCCACACTGCATTTTCCAACTCCAAAATGATTTCCACTGACCAGCAGCAATGTGGCGTTGCAAGTTTCCACAGTGTGATCACCAATTGCTTCTCCACTGACAGTGCAGCTCTCATTTTGATGTCCCTGCGCTGGAGGACTGGACAAGCTTGGCACACAGACCCAGGAATGTGACCTTGCGCATCCCTAAGTTCTGATGCCACTGCTCATCATCGCAAGCGTGTGTTACCATGCGATCCCACCAGTCGGTGCTTGTTTTTCAGGTCCAGAAGCAGTGCTCCATCATCTGCAGCTGCTTCTTGAACTCCACCAACAACATTGAATTGGTTCTCACTGTGTCCCACAGCAATCTGTCCTCCAAGAAATCATCATGTTCCCCGCTCATTCAGTTCTTCTTACAGCTCTGCAAATACCGGAGGATCTTGCTTCCTGTGCTTGCAAAACTTAGGACAATAGTGCAGAGCTGTTCAGGCTCCATACTTTTGTCAGAGATGATGGACAGTGAGGAGGGCTGTGCAGGTTCGTGGGATTTTTTTTTAAAGGCACGAAAATTATGGGATATAGATGACATTATGGGATGGAAACTGTTGCAAGCTATGAAGCTGAACCCTTGTTCTCAGTCAACCCTGCACGACTTATTTCAGTTCCAACATGTATTGCCAAAACTTCCCAAAAGAGCGTGCTGGACAGTGGCAGGTTGCACATGCACAAGCGATATGCTAACTGCAGTGGCTTTATGCCGATGTAACTTGTCGACCAAAGCTTGTAGTGTATTCATGGCCTTAAGTGAAAAGGCAAAATAGCAGCCTCTGCCTCTTTTAAACATACTGACTGCCACAATGGCTTTAACTTGCTGCTTCAGTGCAGGACAAGACCAGAGCACGCAGCAATGTCAGTAACAGGGTAGTTTTGTTGTTGTTTTAATCATGGCTGACAGAAATAATCCGAAAAACTCATTTACTCCTCAGGAGCAGGGGGCTGGGCTGCAAAACCAATGGGAGTGGCAGGGAGCTGACATATTTGGAAAGAAGTCTGCTCGTCATTGTTGGCATTTCAGCTTGAGTAGTTTCCTGCAGCTGTGATCTTCTCTGTCTCTTCTATTTAAGTTCTTTACTAATTGGCCAGCTTTTTGGTGCCTGAAACTGTACAAAACTGAAAGCAAGTCACTCTTTAACCTTACCGTGCTGAAGCATGTATGGGGAAATGATATGAGGCCTAATACCTTGTAGAATGTTTACTAAATAACACATCATGGGTGAGATTCCCCTTTCTCAGCACAACACGAGAGTAAATGGGCTTTGTTTGAAGAAGTAGGTTGGGGATTTGGGTAATTAATCCATATCTTACTCTACAGTCAAATTTCCTGGCAGCTCCACAGCCCGCTGAGGGCTGCTGTTCCTGCCCTGGTCTGGTGGATCCACCACTGTGCAGAACTATCAGTAACATCGCACCAAAGTGATAGAAGGCAAGAAGCACAGAGCCTACTTTTGGCACTGGAGAAGCGGCTACAGTGTGATTCACTATTGAAGAGTGGTTTGTAGGAAAGAAACACCCTCCTGCATGGTCTGCCTGCTTGGAATGTGAGCTGGAGACAGGATTTACGCCTTGGGCAGTTCATACCTCTCCATTGCTATGTGGCTGGATTGTGCAAATTGTACGTGCCACTGAGTCAGTAGCACTGCAGAGCTTCACTCCCCCCTAGGAGAGCTAAGGACAAAGTCAGGACCTGCATGATATGCAAGTTCCCCAGTACACAGGGAGAGGGCAAAGGCTGCACTGTTGTTTAGCATTGTGAAGCCTGTTTTCTCTTGGTGAGTTCAGCCTGTGGAGGGGCCAGTGTGGGAGGAACTCCTCCGTGCCTCCTCATGTATAATTTATATAATATACAATTATAATTAAAAATTACTACAAAATCTTCAAAAAGTTGAAATCAAAAGAATATGTTGTAAATGACCAGAATGTTCCTTCAAAGAATTTTGAAATTTTCAATTTTGGCTCTGATTTGGAACAAAGCTAAATTTCAAAATCCTCAAATCCTTTGTGAAAGAGAACTTCCATCCTCTGCACAGACCTAGTGATTTGTGTGCCCACGGCTGCACAGAGGTAGCAGTTACTGCACTCCCCTGGTTGCAGGGACTGCCAGGTGTCTCCCTTACTGAGGCAGAATTTGTAGGGTGGAGAATCCTCCCTTCCCTCCCAATTCCCCTGCAAGGGCCAGGGAAACTCTGAATGTCTGTCTACAGATTCAGGTAGTCTACCGCGTATCACAGATCCCATTCGGCTCACGGTCAGAAGGTTATGTTTGCAACCAGAAGGAGTAGAAACTTCTAGTCTAAATCAAACTTTAAATTCTATGGAAACTGATGGATAAGTCCCTTCCCACCAGAGAAGGTTTCCTATTTCCCATTATCAAATGGGCAAGTAATTTTGTGAGCCCTGCTGACGTGCTGCTATACAGGATCAATGGAAATGTTCAGTTGTTGCTGCAACCAGCCCTACAGAACAGCCTGGTGAATGTTAATATGTAATGTACTCAATATGGAGTTTATCATCCGTCACAAGCTTTCTGAGGACACTCCAAGGTTCAGTGAGGTAGAGGAACTGAGTCACTATATCTGTATCCTGAGTTATCCTTATGCTACTTTCAGAGTTAAAGCTGCCTTAGGGAAAATATATTTCAAGAACTAAACCAGAAGTTTTGCTGTTGTTTCACAGTAATGATGGTGTGTTGGTTAATTTCTTCAAAGTTAACTCAAATTCTTATCTGTAATAAAGCAGGCAAGACATCCTAATCATAGTAGGGATGCATGTGTTTGTTTGCACATACATGTGGTTCTCTATGGTCCAAGGATTTTGAGGGTCTAAGTAAATTCCCATTAAGTTAAAGGAGGGTAATAAATTTTTTAGTACACTACTGCTTTACTATGAGAAAGCACTGGCTCTCACTGAATAGGAATCAAATTCCATTTCCAAGATTTGGGCTTCTTTGATCCCACTAGTATTTATTAACCTAATCCAGTGTTTCTCAAATGCAGCCAGCATGACGACATGCGGCCACCAGGGGCTTTTCTTGCAGCCACAGCCTACTGGGTGATGATTGTGGGGGTGGGGGAGCAGTAGCCCCTCACTCAGGGCCTCTAGCAGGAGTTGAGCGTTGGCCCCTCTGGAGAAACAAACACTGGAGGAGCAAGCAGCCAGTGAGTTCCACACATTCCTGGGGTGGTGGGGTCAGGCTTCAGCCCAGGGGTGGCGGGCAGCTCCTCCCCCAAATAAATATGACAGAATTCTGTGTCTGCAGTTCTGTGCAATGGTGAAATACAGACCTACTTGCTTTGTGACTGCAGTGTGTGTGTGTGTGTGTGTGTGTGTGTGTGTGTGTATAAACAAGGAGTTACAGTAGAGGCTCATTAATCCATACTAATGAGAGGGAGGCTATAGAAGATTAAAGTTGTGTTTAATGTTGTGGGTTAGTGAATATGCAAAAAATGCAATTAAAGCAACAAACAAACAAGAAATCCCCAGGCTCCTGCATCAAACATACTGCAGAACCTCATAAATCTTCATAAATGGGCCGAGACCTTGCGTAAACTGGTAAAGTTTGAATGCTGCCAATGCTGGGGTGAGGACTAGATCTGGCACCACTGATTAGTTTAAAGCACCCTAGCCTTGTTTCTGGCATTGTGAGCTCCAGCACAGGGGCTAGGAGGTGATGAAGTGTTCTGCATTGTCCTGTAGGCAGCACAGAGCCAGAGACTTTAGTCTTCATGAATCCTAAAAACAGATCCTTGGAGCCCTATTGTGTTTTCCTGCCAGTTCTCCTAGAACTTTGCTTTAAGGTTGAACACTTGAGTTATTTCCTGTATACTTGTCTTTATTAGGGGCTATTAATTCAAAACACAGAATCCTTGAGGTTAGATAGCTATTCTTCCACCATCTTTTGTGATTTCATTCAGATTTGTTTTCAAAACTAAGCCAGATTTTCTTTCTAAGGTCATTTGAGTGTTTACGATTTTAATAAATGTTGTTAAAAATAAGCAAAAAAAGGAGATCTGAACACTCTGTTAATTTAAATAAAGGATCTTCCTCTAAGATTTACAACTATTATGGTATTTTCTTGAAGGCCAAATTTTAAAATGCTTAGGGGAAGCATTTTCCCTAGGCCAAAGATGTTGGGTGTGTGTGGATGTATATGAGTAATGTCTTAAAAGTCTGGCTATCCATTATAACACAGGTGTTAATGATTTAAAATTTGTTACTACAAAGATTAGTGCTGGGTAAAACCAACAACATTGCCAGACTATACTGAAGTGATGGAGACAAAGTAATTTGAATTCTGTTATTTAGAAGTTGCCCATTTTGACTTCTCATAACTTGAATAAGCACTTCTAGTAATTGATTAAGAGTTCTGACATTACTCCTCCCTTTCCCCCCCAAAAATCATATATTTATATTCCTTTGTGAATGGTATGATGCTTAGAACTTTTTTGGGGTAAGTTAATGACATAAATAACCTATTGTGCATTTTATAGTACATTTCCTTGAGCAAACTAGATGGAATGCTTTTTAATATAGCTATTTGATGATTTTTATACTTGCCATGTGAAGACAGTCTGGATATAGATTGATATAGAATTACTTAAAATGCTGCATATAAATTAAACATTAAAAAAGGTAGATACAGACAGGCTAAGCAGCTCAATTATAATAGTTGGTTTTGCAGTTGCTGCCTCAAGGACACTCCATCCATTTCATATCCTATGTCCTTCTTTTGAAAGATGATCACTGGGGTTCAAGTAACGTTTCAGCACAGCAGGAAATTGCATAATTTATAGTCCTTTAAAAAATGAAAAACTGAAAACTGCTTTTCATAAATTAAATCTCTCTCTCTCTCTTTTCCTCCCCTGTCTCTTCCTCCCAACAGATTGGAGCACTGAAGGATTACTACCACTTCTATCATAGTAAAACAATTAAAAGGTCAGTTCTCTCAAGTAGAGGTACCCACAGCTTCATTTCAATGGAACCAAAGGTAAGAAAATCCAGCTAGGCAAGCATCTGAGGCAAAAGCTTCTGCATTTTTAATTTGAAACGTCATATCAGGAAACATTTGCCTGGATGGCAGCTAGCTTTACAAGAGTGGATATACTATCTGTTCACCAAGGTACATTAAGATGAAACAAAGACAAATACCATATTATTAACTGATGTGCTATCCTCAGAACATAATGTTCACCGTTGTTCCTGGGGGAGATGTACTATAAGAATTTTGTTAATGTACTAATCTTTATGTCATGCCTTGCAAGTTTAAACTCCCAAGAATAACCTTAAAAAGAACAGGAGTACTTGTGGCACCTTAGAGACTAACAAATTTATTTGAGCATAAGCTTTCGTGAGCTACAGCTCACTTCATCGGATGCACCTTAATAACCTTAACAGACTGCTGTTTTCTTGTTGGCTGCCTTTGCGAATGAAAATGTGCAAAGTAGGATGATATCCCCATGGTTTGGTGGTATTTGTTGGCTTTTTATGGTCATTTAGTGAAGTAGGGGAATTAAGATTTGCACACTCTTTTCCATGTTCCTTTTAATTAATCCTTATTCCTTATTTTATATTAAAGGACCTTTTTTATTTGAAATGTGGCATCTCACCCTGCATCACATATTTAGTCTTAGCAAAATTTTTGCTAACATCAATTTTTGATGTTGGGTAACTGAGGGCATTGGGTAATACTGGCCATTCTATTATAGCATTGCACAATATTTTATCTTATAATTGTGGCTGAGAAAGCATTTTTATTGCAAGCCCCTAATTTCAGTTGTTTTGTAACTTCTCCCCCAAACAACCTTGGAGTTGGAATTTCTTATGTGTTTCCTCAACCAAGAAATGAATGTTTTTGAAAAGTTTGAGGAAAAATCATTAAGCTTTTTTATTTTATTCAAGTGTGAAAAAAACCTTAGTGTTTTTCAAGAGTTAGCACTTGGACTATATAAACATAGCATGTTGATCACCCTTACTGAGAAATTTATGCTTTACTAACCTTGAAAAAAAGTTAAGTATAAAAATTATCAACGAATAAAAGCAGAATGCTGCACATGTGTAGTATGTAGTTTCCCAGGGAGGTAAATGTCACACACAGACACGGAGTGGTGAATCCTGCTTTCCTAGTGGTGTGGAAGGCTGTGTAGGAAGCATAAGTAGGGTAGTTTTGCGACAGGATGTGGGGTGTCTACAAAGGAGGTTCTCACACAGTGTATGGCTAAACCGTGTTCTCTAAGGGCTCCATCAACCTTATTGTTCAGGTTGTTTCAGTGATAAACATGGAGAGGGTCAGGGGCAAGGCTGGAGGGTCCAGGAATACTCAGATTCACTGAACAAATACCAAGTGCTCGCCCCCACATAGGCAGTAGTGCAAATGGAGTGGAAACCATTTGCATCTTTTAGCAACTGCCCCAGCACATGTGAGTCTTCTGTGGGCACAGAGCTAGTGTAGCTGACTTTGTTGTACACAGACACCACCTAGCACAAACACTGTGGCTATATCCAGCTGCTGTATGGTCCCTTTTGGATCACTCACAACATTCCTAGATTAGAGCAGCCTTGAGCGAAGTATGGGGAAGGACTAAGGCAGAGCTGAACAAAGAATCAGGGAGACATAACCAGTTCCCTGATGGTCCCTTGCTGTGCCAAGTAGATTTTGGCCACATCAGAGAATCTGTCCCATCAAATACTACTAATGGACACTTGATTGGTAATCATAACTATGAATTTCTTGATTTTATTTTTTAAATTATATTACTGTAGCACCCAAAAACTCCAATCAGAGTTGAGGTCCCATTGTGCAATACAAACAATGAAGACACATAGCCTTGATGGTGTTTTAGATTCTAAGAGGAGTTTACAATCTAAATAGGTGAACACTAGCGTTTGTGGACTTTCCAAACTGTTTAAAAGTAGCTTCCTTGTAACTTAAAATCGTCTTCCAAGTGACAAAATAACACCCATACTTAATTATACATTTGATTTGAAAATGGTGACATTATTTTAGTACACAAAATGAATGTAAAACTGCATATGTGCAACTCATGATGGGGTCAGCCGTGAAAGCTTCCGTTCTTCCTCTTTCTATGGGTATTTTGACTTCAGGATTGAACTAAATTTTTTAAAAAATAAAATAAAGATAAAATACTGGGCCCAGTTTTAAAGGGGCATTTACTCAAACCCCATCTTGGTGCTCAGAATTAATTGCAGGTAAATCCCACCTGTTAGTTGTGTTAATTCTATGGCATTACCTCCACTTAATGGGAATTCAGGAAGTTAATACTACTATTTTGTAGTCTTGTATTTCTAAACTACTTGTATGCATAGTGTTGTCTTTGACTGTGTGAACACAAAGGGCCAGATTCCTAGCTGGCATAAGTTGGTGTAGCTCTATTCATTTCAATGGAACTATGACACTTTATGACAGCGTCTCTCTTTCTAGATATTTATGAATTTGGTTATTAATGCCTTAGAAACATTTTAACTGGTTGGGATTAGGAAGAAACTTCCTTTATGGTCAAGTTATCCCTTCAATTTCTTTGAACTCAATGGAGCTGGGCCCATTTCCAGTAGCCAAGAATCTGGGTCCAGACAATTCATTAATACTGCTCTGTTTGATTTTCCTGTAAGTTGTTCTTACTCTATTACTGTTTGTTCCCAGTTATTTCAGATACACTTGCAGGAACTTCCTTTGGCCTTTGTTTACATCCTGCATAAATTATTAATAGGACCCATATTTTTAAAAATGGCATCTGCAGTTTTATGGGCAGTTACCATGATTTCTTACACAAGTCAGATAAATGGGTGAACAAAAGGCTAATTTTGCATCTAACTGATTAATTAGTTAAATGTACATGCTGGCTTTGAAGATCTAGGGTTTGGTTCTCATTCTCATTTAAACGAAGGCCACTTTACACCACTCTGGCAGTGTAGAAAGGCCTTAAAGTTGGCATAAATTAGACGGGTGTAGAGTACACATTTTCAAAATTTGGCCCAATGTTTACATGAACCCTACTCTGTCTTTAAATGAGCATGTAAACAATATTCAGCATAGTAGAATTTTGTCCGTATATTGAGAAATATATTTATTAGCGTCTGCTGCGAGCCCTTTGCGCCTCAGCTCAGGAATGTACGTTGGCACCGCCAAGAGAGGATATCAATTAGATACTTTTAGAGGAGGAATGGTCAAAGTGAGCGCCTGTGGTCACATGTAGACCTCCAGCACTCTTAACGTAGCCTAGCACAGAACTCTGCAGAGTGGAGAGGTTCACACAGAGCTTTCTTCAAAGCAGCACTGCTAGAGTGCGGTTACTGAGCATGTCATCGCTGGTTGCAGCTTGCTGTAAAAATTGATAGAAAGATAGGCAGGAGAGGGGCCAAGATCCAAAGCAGGGATCTGTATCATGCACCAAATTAAAGTGTTGCCCCAAGTCGATAGTGGGTAGGCAAATGATAAGACAGAACAAAACTCCCTGGCCTTTCTAACAAGCTTCACCCCCACCAACTAAACTCTTGCAGCGTTCACTGTAAACTGTTGCGGTTCAATACAAGACAGGACACAGCTTTAGGCGAGCAAGCAGGCTGGTTTGCTGACGGGATTGCCCCTGTCAGCTTTTCCACCTCTCTTTTATTTCTCTCCCCTCTGCGCATTACATACTCTGACCGCAAAAGGCATCAACAAAGGAAATAATATGACTTTGATTAATATTCTTATTTACCAGCCTCTATCTACTACAATCCTTGTTCTCAGGCCTTGAGCCCAGTCCAAGGAAGCTTCCCACGGTTCATGTCCTCTGAGCGACTTCCCATGGTCCATGTCCTTGGACGGAGCAGTGTGTGCACCGCTCCTACACAACAGTCAGGGTGTGCCCTGAATGTTTCCAGGTGCATGAACTCTACATGAACCCTTCAGTAAACCCCTCCTCAGCAGTCGTGTGCTCCTCTGTCATCCCTCCATAGACTGCTTTGAAGAGTCCTTTTGGGAATGTTAGTGCGTATGTATGGGGGTGAAGCGTGATCAGAGTCAATCCATGACTAGTGAAGGGTATGGAGAGCTGCAGAGGGTGTTGGGGACCCTCTCTGCTCCCTTCTGTGCTTACCTGACTTTCCTTTAGAATCCTTAATTGGGATTAGGAAGAAACTTCCTTATGGTCAAGTTAGCTGTTCAATTTCTTGGTGCAGAATTTCCCTATGGAGGAATGAAGCAGGTAAGGCACCCCCCAGTATTTTCCCCAGGACTATTCATTGTTTATAGTGTGCCAGCAGAAGGGGTTGCTAACGGGAAGGAGAGCTGAAATATGAGTGTGATCTCAGGCCATGTCTACACTACCATGCTACAGCCACGCTGCTGTAACCCTGTCGTGGTGATGCAGACTACATTGACGGATGGAGTTTTCCACTCCACTTCCCCGAACGACGGTAGCTAGATCCATGGATGCATTCTTCTGTTGACAGAGCTGTGTCTATATTGGGGGTTAGATTGACCTAACTATAATGCTAGGGTGTGTGGATTTCTCACACCCTTGAGTACTCATGCTAGGTCAGCCTAAGTTTTACATGTAGACCCAGCCTCAGTTACACAGGTATCAAACAGGTGTAAGTAAGATCAGAATTGAGCTCTTCTTGCACCAATGGGAATACAGTTTAAAGTAGGTGTCAGTAATGGAGCCCACACATGAAATTAACCACACATCACAATAACGTACACATATGAAATACAGAAGTCTATGCAATGAGTGAATTTATTTTAGGTTATTTTTTAAAAAAATAAACAAAGGGCCAGCATTGAAAGGCACAGAAAATCAGGACCATGATCTATAATGTGTAATATACCCTGAAAGCATCTGAAAAATCAAGTTAGCATACATGAGTGATGTATAAGGCTCTGTAGTACAATACTTAAAAAAAGAACGACACTAAAAATCTTAATAATTTTACTTAATAAAGTAAAATAAATTTTACTTAATAAGTTTACTTAATAATTTGCCATTTAG